CAAGTGTTTTTCAGTTGTGGGAGGGTGGAGCTGTCAGGAGGTACTTAAATTCTGCAAAGGACTGTATCATGTTTGAGAGGACAGAAGGATAGTATGGCGAGATTTTGTTATAAAATTTGACTGCTAATCATGCATATTAAAAATAATTTCAGGCTGGGCACGGTGGCTCACCCTGTAATCCCAGCACTTTGGGAGGCCAAGGTGGGCGAATCACGAGGTCAAAAGTTCAAGATCAGCCTGGCCAATATGATGAAACGCTGTCTCTACTAAAAATACAAAAAGTTAGCTGGGCGTGGTGGCATGCACCTGTAGTCCCAGCTACTTGGGAGGCTGAGGCAGAAGAATCGCTTGAACCTGGGAGGCGGAGGTTGCAGTGAGCCGAGATCGTGCCACTGCACTCCAGCCTGGGTGACAGAGCGAGACTTTGTCTCAAAAATAATAATAATAATAATTTCAGGGTAATCACTAAAAGAATAGCAGTATACCTATATTAGAGAAAAGAAAATGTAGCTTCAAAAACATACCCAACTTAATAAGCAGAAACAAGAAACAAGAAAACAAAAGGAAAAGGTTAATAAATAGAAAACACAAAATAAAACAACTGTATCAGTATTCACACTCAATGTAAGCAGATTTAACTCACCTATTAAACGACAAACATTATAGAAACAGATTTTAGCTCCCATTTTTTTTTTTTTTTTGAGGCGGAGTCTCACTCTGTCACCCAGGCTGGAGTGCAGTGGCGCAATCTCGGCTCGCTGCAAGCTTCGCCTCCCGGGTTCACACCATTCTCCTGCCTCAGCCTCCCGAGTAGCTGGGACTACAGGCACCCACCACTACGCCCGGCTAATTTTTTGTATTTTTAGTAGAGACGGGGTTTCACCATGTTAGCCAGGATAGTCTGGATCTCCTGACCTCGTGATCCGCTCGCCTCGGCCTCCCAAAGTGCTGGGATTACAGGTGTGAGCCACCGCGCCTGGCCAGCTCCCATACTTTTATTGAAAAAAACCCCGACATACTGCTTAAAAAAGGCTACTCAAAATAAAGTTATAAAGTATCTGCAGTCTTTTGTTTCTGAAAAAAAAAACAACAAACAGAAAAAGATATACTAGGAAAATGTTAACCAAAGGTAGCAGGCCTGGCAATATTATAAATAGATAAAACAGAATATAAGGGAAAAGGTTAAAGAAGGACACTACAAAATGATAAAAGGGACAGTCATCAAGAATATACAACGATCAAGAACTTGGATACACCTAACAACACAGACTCAAAATACCAGCAAATATTAACAGATATTGATGATTTTTCAACAAATCCACTGTAATTAGAAACTGACAGATCACACAGTCACAAAATTTAAGTCAAAAATTAATAGAGATGGTTTGAATAGCATGATTAATGAAGTTGAAGTAATTCATGTAAATAGGACCCTTTGTCCAACAAATAGAGAATACATCTTTTTATCACTTTTTGTGGAGTATTAATCTAAAAACTGACTACATACCTGGCCACCAAACAAGCTGCAACAAATATAAAAAAAATCAGTAGCAAAGGCATCAAAGCAATTCAATGGGGAAGAATAGTCTTCATAATAAGTAGAGCTGGAAACAACCAGACATCAATATGGTGGGGTGGGGGGATCAGCCTTGACACACATATCACACTGTACACAAAAATTAACTTGAGATAGATTATAGATTTAAAATTAAAAGTTAAAACAATAAAGTCTCTAGAGGAAAACAGGAAATTATCTTCTTGACCTGGGAGTAAATAAAGAATTATACCACAGAAAGCAACAACCATTTTTTAAAAAGTGATAGACTTTTTCAAAATGAAAAATTATTCAAAAGCCAGAGTTATGAAAACGAATAAAAGAGCCACGGATTGGGAGAAAATGTTCTCAAAATCTGACAAAGGAGTCGTAACAATAATATATAAAGAACTCATACAACTCAGTAAGTTTCCCAATTAAAAAATGAGGAGAAGACTTGACGAAACACTTCACAAAAGAAAATAGAGGAATGGCTAATAAACAAATTAAAAAATGCTCATCATTAGTCATGGAGAAATGCAAATTTAAATCACGATAAGATAATACTACTCATTCACTAGAGTAGCTAAAATTTAAAAGACTCACAACATCAAATATTTTCAAGGATTTAGAGTAACCAGAAATCTCATATTGCTGGTATGAGTGTAAAATGGTACTTTGGGAAAAGGTCTAGAAGTATCTTAAAAAGCTAAACACACCATTGTTCTGGAGGTTTTAGCCAGGGCAATTAGGCAAGAGAAGAAAAAAAAAAAAGCATCTAGATTGTGACATGATCTTGTACACAGAAAATCCTAAGGAATTTCTACGGGAATTCATTAGGCTTTCCTTAGGATTATAGGAATTTAAACCTATAATATATAATCCTGAGGATTATAGGAATTTCTATATTCACGAAAAACTAATACATGAGTTCAGCAAGGTTGCAAGATATAAGATCCTGTGAAATAGAAAGATATTTCATGGTCATAGACTGGAAAACAAAATTGTTAACATGGTAATACTCCTGAAATTGGTCTATAGATTCATTGCAATCCCTATCAAAATCCCAGCTGGCTCTCCGAAGCCCCCACTGAAATTGACAAAATGGTCCTAAAATTTATACAAAGATGCAAGAGACCCAGATAGCCAAAATAATCTTGAAAAATGAGACTAAAGTTGGAGGAGTCACACTTCACAACTTCAAAACTTACTACAAAGTTACAGTAATCAAGACAGTGTGGTACTAGATAAGGACAGACATATAAATCAATGGAATAGAACTGAGAGTCCAAAAGTAAATCCTCACATTTATGATTGATTTCTGACAAAGATGCCAAGACAAGTCAACAGGGGAAAGAAGAATATTTTTAAACAAATGCTGCTAGGACAACTAGATAAAAATAAAGCTGGACCCCCTACCTCACACCATAAACAAAAATTAACCCAAAATGGATCATAGAGCTAAATGTAAGATCTAAAACTATAAAACTCATAGAAGAAAACAAAGACGTAAATGTTTACAATCTTAGATTAGGCAATGAATTTTTAGATACGACACCAACTGATGAATGAAGAATGATACTTATAGCACAACACCTTTCAAAGAGAGCTAAAAAGAATTCATAACAAGTGTACATATTATGAATGGATACACACATACAAAGAGTGAGTATACAAATATTTATCATAGTGGTTGCTTTCAGAGAGGAAAGAAAGGGGCAGCAAAGGGATAAATAAAGGGCTTAAACAGTATCTACAACCTTCTGTTTCTGAAACAAATAAGACATACCATTAATATATGACAGAAGTGGGTGTTGGTACACCCATGCACCTTTATGAATATTTGAAATATTTTAACATTTAACAACTTACATTTTTAAAAGAATGAGACATCCTTATGAGCATTCATTGCCAGTGTAGCATAGGACAAAAATGAAGGTAAATGAAATTGATCTAAAACCATACTAATCCCAAACAGTATTCTGGAAATTGCTTTGGGAATAAGTCCTTGATATCAACTCCTTTATTTGTTATTGCCTTTATTCAAAATTGGAGTACAAAGGACATGGCTCAGAATGATTACTGAAATTTTCCATTTGTTTATATTCTATACAAATAGTTGTGGCTGGTGTTTATTTTTCTCTATCTCTCTGTTCCTAAATTTGTTTTCATCAAATTTTCCCAAGCTAAATCTCTTCCTTTTTTTTTTCTCCTTTCCCTAGATTTGCATTTCTTTTACCAAGCAACTATAAAACATTATTTTCTTTTTCCATTTGCTCATAAATCAAATAGCACATTTCCTTGCTTGGTTTTTCACTTTCATCTATATGTTGGTTGACTTGTTTATATCTTTTCTGCATCTTGACTTGTCCCAAGTATGGGACAAGATTCCAGGTGCTAATAAGCTACAGTTTTTACAAGGAGAAAGTTAACTTATTTAGGCCTAATGGGATGGCTTATATGCAGATAAGGATTTAGAAATTATTTAAAAGGGTACAAACTCCCTTTTCATACATGTTTCTGTCAAGGGGGCACAGGAACTTGGAAGGGCTGCAAGGAGGACACAGTTGCTGCCATGATTAGAGTGAAGTCAATCCTACAGGTGGCTGGGCCTTGTATCCTTGGATACCAGTTCCTGCTGTGTTATGGAGCCCAGTAGGCTGCTTGGCTTAAGTCACATGGAAGATATAGGGGAGCATTTTATCATCTTCTATTCCCACACAACAGCAACAACTATCATTTATCAACCATCTTTTTCAATTAATGATAACTGCCAGATAAAGTTCTAGGCATCCTATGCTATCTCATTTAACTTATAATTCCCTGAGGCATAATCATCTCCATTTTGCAGACAGGACACTGGGTAAGAGGAGTGAAGCAATATATGCAAGGTCACACAGCTGATTAACGGCAGAGCTAAGATTCCCACCCAGTTGTGACTCATGACAAGGCCCAGCCCTTTACCATTTCATTGCTTCTTCCCTTTCTGGCTGCAGCAGGATGTGGAGCAGACTAGTTTTGGGGTAAGAGTTGTTCTTTCTCACAATCCACCATGCAATCTATCCATTATATTTATACTCAAAATGGGGAAACGTTTAGGTCTTCAAGAAAACAATTTGAGTCAGGCCGGGCACAGTGGTTCACACCTGCGTGGGAGGCCCAGGCAGGCAGGTCACCTGAGGTCAGGAGTTTGAGACCAGCCTGGCCAACATGGTGAAACCCCAGCTCTATTAAAAATACAAACATTAGCCAGGTATGGTGGCGCACGCCTGTAATCCCAGCTACTTGGGTGGCTGAGGTAGGAGAATCGCTTGAACCCAGGAGGCAAAGGTTGCAGTGAGCTGAGATGGAGCCACTACACTCCAACCTGGGCAACAGAAGGAGGCTCTATGGCAAAAAACAAAAACAAAACAAAACAAAAAACAGAAAACAATCTGAGTTATGGGGCTGAGTAAAAGAGGCGTACCTGAATAGGGTCCTGCGTCAGTCTCATGGGCCCGATGCGCACCTCCGCAGAAGACACCTGCTAAATAAAGGACAGCACAAGAGAAGTGTCAAGTCTTAAACTACACAAATGGATACATCCTTCCTTACGCAATGCATTGCATTATGCCACTGTGTGCACTAAATTGAAGAATCCGGCTTACTGAACTGGAGATGGGTTACAAAGCATGATGTATATAGCACAGCCCTGTTTTTGTATAAAAAAATAAAGTATACATTTATATGCATTGAAAATGTCTTTGAGGATACATCCCCAAATGCTAAGTGGTTGGACTTTGAGTTATTTTTACTAGAAGTGCCTGTATTTTTATAATAAGCATGTACTATTTTATGGAAGGAAACAATTCAATAATTATTTACTGAGCACCTACTATGCGCTGGGCATCATGCTAAGACCATTATTATTCTGACATTTCAAAAGAGAATAAACATTTCTCTCAAATCTCGAGGCTAAATCACATCTATGGTTTAACAGCCTTTCCAATATTTAGATCCTTTTTTTCTTATCCTCATGTTTTACTATGAGGGGCAAACAGCTTAGTCTTACTCACATTTACCATGGATAAATTACTCATCTCAGTTGTATTTCCACAAATAAACTGAGCAACACCACACCATGATGACCACAAGAGGCTTGTCTCTGCCCCATGACTCCAGGAGTGAGCACAGGGCTCTTTGGTGTTCACTGGCCAACACCATCTGGCTGCCTCTGGCGAGCGGTTAGATGGAAGCAAGCATAAAGCAAATATTTGTCTTTATTTTTAATTACTTTACTGGGATTTCTAAAAATGACTGTTCTCTAGACTAATTTGGCTGACGGTCTTGACCTCACCTCCATGGATCCAATTTTGTTTTTCTCTAAGAGACTGCGGTCATTTGCCACTATTGGAAGCTTATCCTGCATGCCACCCTCTGTACTGGCCCCGTGTCAGTCTGAAGAAGTGCCTTCAACTCGCAGCAGCATTTACACAACCAGAGACACTTGCAGTGACCCAAGGGCCATGGGAGGCTTTTCAATTACAAAAAACAAACAAGAAAAGCAAACTTTCTTTACATTATACTTCACAAGACTACAATAATTTCCCTTTCTCCTTTCTTCCTCTTTCCCCAAGTTTAACTCTTGGTGCTGGCGCTATGAACACTCTCCAAAGCACCAGTCAGTCTTCCTTTCCTCTGTAGGGCTGATTCTCTCACCCCACCCCAACACGGCAGTGTAAAGAACTGACGCAGGGCGCTTGGGCCTCTCACCAAACCAGCCAGCAGAAAACTCAAAGAGCCCTCTAATGACTGCTCATAGGCTCCTGGCCCTCCATGGAGGGTTCTCAGGAGGGCAAGGCTGCCTGTCCTGCTCCCCTTGGGGGAGACAGCCTCCTCAACCATGGGTCCACTCAGCAGGCCTGGCACAATGAAAACCAACTGGAGGCTTTGAGTCCCTGAGCCTGTGGACAAGTTCCTTCAGTGTTTCACTGCTGTGTTCAGGTCAAAGTGACAGGCTCATGTTGAGTGTCGACTTTTCTTACTCTTCTTTTGTCTAAGTCAGTCAGTATCCTGGAAGGTGTGGGTGCTGACACCAGTAGCCTACGTGCAGAGCCCCAAGAGCAACTCCACTAGAAGAGGGCCAGCCCCAGGGCATCCTGCGTCGCTGGGCTGCCAGCCCTTCACCCAGCTCCACTCCCAAGCCAGTGTTTGCTATTGAAATAAACACCCTCCTTCCAAAGCAGCACAACTGCCAGAACCCAGATTTAAAATTTAATGTAATCCCAGCACTTTGGGAGGCCGAGGCAGGCAGATCACCTGAAGTCAGGAGTTCAACTCCAGCCTAGCCAACATGGTGAAACCCAGTCTCTATTAAAAATACAGCAGGCGCCTGTAATCCCAGCTACTTGGGAGGCTGAGGCAGGAGAATCACTTGAACCTGGGAGGCAGAGGTTGTGGTGAGCCAAGATCACGGCATTCTGGGCAATAAGAGCGAAACTCCATCTCAAAAAAAAAAAAAAAAAAAAAAGTTAATGATTAAAAAGGGAAACCAGCCGGGCGTGGTGGCTCATGCCTATAATCCCAGCACTTTGGGAGGCCGAGGCAGGTGGATCCCTTGAGGCCAGGAGTTTGAGACCAGCCTGGCCAACATGGTGAAACCCCATCTCTACTCAAAATACAAAAATTAGCCAGGCATGGCAGTGGGCACCTGTAATTCCAGCTACTCGGGAGGCTGAGGCAGGAGAATGGCTTGAACTCGGGAGGTGGAGGCTACAGTGAGCCGAGATCACACCACTGCACTTCAGCCTGGGCAGCACAGTGAGACTCCGGGGAAAAAAAAAAAAAAGTGAAACCAATTTAGTACGCTAAGATACATTTGAAAAGCCAGGGTATCTTTTCATCTTTTCACTTGCCCTGTGATCTCTCTTGAGTTCACTGCCTCCACCACACACAGAAGGCCCTCCAACAAGCCCACCTGTGAATGATTTCGCCAGCAAAATTAGGCTCCTAAAGGAGTCATCCAGTGGCAGAAAAGAAAGTAATGAATGAAATCATAAATAAAAGTTTAAAAGGAATAAAATAAAAAGTGACTCACATTAGAAGGCCAAGAGATAGGGAAGGACTCCTGCAAGAAGGACACAGGCTGTACAAAAAATAATAATTCACCCCTAACCAATACGTTGCCTGTCTCCCTCCCTCCCTCCCTCCCTCCCTTCCTCTCTCTCTCTTTCCTTTCTTTCTTTCCTTTACTTTTTTTCTTTTTCTTTTTTTTGGACAGAGTTTTACTCTGTCACCCAGGCTGGAGCGCAATGGCACCTTCTCGGCTCACTGCAACCTCCGCCTCCTGGGTTCAGGCGATTCTCCTGCCTCAGCCTCCCGAGTAACTGGGATTACAGGTGCCCACCAACACTTCCAGCTAATTTTTGTATTTTTAGTAGAGATGGGGTTTCACCATGTTGGCCAGGGTAGTTTCAAACTCCTGACCTCAGGTGATCTGCCCGCCTCGGCCTCCCGAAGTGCTGGGATTACAGGAGTGCACCATTGTGCCCTGCTGCCTATATACTTTTCTAAATAATCAATATGTGCATGAAGTGTTGGTACGGCTAACCTTATATGGTAGGCTGGCGGGGAGGGGCAGGCGATTTTCGACTCTGCCAGGAGAATATCTGATGACCGTGAACATTCCTTAAGTCCCTCTGACCCAGGCATTGTGCCAGGCACATTCACACCTGTAATCCTAGTGGCAGACAGGCAACGGCCACGGAGTCACAGCATGGAATTTTAAAAGCAGTTCTCAAGCTAGAAGATGTATCATTTTTCTTCCTAAAGGCAGGAAAGACCCTACAACTTTCTCTCATAGCCACAACAGTTCTCTGCCTGCCATCCAGCATTCTAACTCCCGTCTGACCCAGCCCAGCAGAAAGGTGAGCTGTGAGCTTGTGGGAGGACAGCAGAGCCGGGAACAGGGGCTGTAAAGTTGCTGCTTAGGGACCTTCTCCAAACCCCTGCCTCTCGCATCTCTACCATTCCTTGCCTCTCTCCTCCCAGCCCCACTTCACTGTGTTCCCTCCCACGTGCTGTCACTCTACCTCCACTACCGGCGTGGGTGCCTCAGTTTACCAGCTCCTCTAGTCCTGACCCACACTTTGCTTTGTGTCTGTTTGTTTGCCTTTTCCTTCTTAGTCTGTGCTCCAAGTCATCTGGCCTTGGCTTCTGTGTCCCAAAGAGGTCAACTGTCCCAAAAGAACACTGGAACTTGTTCTTGCTGACTCTGAGGGCTGGCACTAGGTAGTGACCAGCAGAAAAAACCTGTAGCAGGTATATTCACAGACGGCAGTTTGCAGAGTTCTGCTTCTGACACAGGCATCTAAGTGCCTGCATTTCACCAATTTATAAAACAGCAATTATGAACAGAAACAGGAGATCATTTACCGACATCTGTGTAGCCACGCCAAGATTCTCTACTTCAAAGAATGAACTTTGAGCAACTGCAGATGCACAGAATCTTCAATTAGTGTATTAGCTCTGATTCCAGGAAGTGACCAAGTTTGCCAGGGTCAGAGAAACAAATGCAGGGGTGGGGGCATAGGTAACATAATTCCAACACCTGAGAAGAGGGTGGGACCAGAATGTGAAGAGAAACACACTTCCTAGCCACATGGGTTTCCCCAGTAGCCTAATGAGGAAGGACTGCTGAACTACAGTGTAGTTTTAACTGTGCTGTACAACATTCGTAGTGTGTCAAATATTTGTGTGTACATGTGTGTGAATGGTAACATACACACCTATATACATGGAAGCAGGGTCACCAATCCACTTTCACATGGAAAAAAAAAAAAAAAACGAGTACTATTTTGTAGCATTTGCTGACTTCCATGGTATAAATACCATTGTTTATCTCAAGCTGGCAACATGGGTCCATGACTGCAAAATTAGGAATGCATCTTTTCATTCAGAGAAAGTCTACAAGTGGCAAAGTCATTCAGTCTTTGTTGATCTGTAAACATCTATCACTCACTTTTGCTTGAAATTTGGCTGAATATAGAATTCTGGTTAAGAGACATTTTCTCTCCCACTCTGAAGTTGAGAATGAGGAGATAATACTTCTGGTTTGGGGGGTGGGGAGATCAAGGAAGGCCTCATGAAGGCAGGCAGGTGGCGAGAAAAAGGGGGATGAAGAGGCTGGGTTGGGGAAAGAGATTCTAGGCATAGGGAACAGCACAGACACAGGCATGGAGGCAGGAAAGCAAAGGTGCTGGGGGGAAGAAAACAAGTCTCCAGAGAGCTGGATTGCAGTATGTGAAAGGGTCGGCTGGGAAGGCTGGGGTCAGATCCTCAGAGGACACAGGAACGAGCTCTCTTTTTTCATCTCTAAGCACCAATCACATTGCAGGTGTTTGAGCAAAGGATCAACATAATCAGATCTGTGACTTGGGAAAATCAAACACTGGCTTGCCCACTTTCTGAATAACCAAGAACAGAGATTTCGCAAAAACTAAACAAAAACACTGCTATGAGTAGGAACTACAGCAACGAAAGCAAGTG